TTGGTGAGACCACATCTGGAGTACCGTGTACAGTTTGGTCTCCTGCTTTGAAAAAAAAACTGCCTTACAAGTAATTCAGAGAAGGTTCACTCATTCCTGGGCTACCTTATGAGGAAATGTTGAAGACATTAGGAGTGTATCCCTTTGAGTTCAGGAGAATGACAGGTGATCGTATTGAAACATATTAGATCTTGTGGGGACTGGATATGTTGGATATCCTGAGGTTCTATGTGGGGGAGACTAAACCTAGGGAACATTGTTTAAGAAAAAATGCTGGCTCTTTTCGGACAGAAATTAGGAGATCTTTATTCTCTCTCAAAGGATTTTTTTCTTTTTTTTAAATTCATTTGTAGAAAATGGATGTCGCTGGCTGACCAGCATTTATTGCCCATCCCTAGTTACCCTTTGGCTAGTCCTGTTCTCTTCCCCAAAAAATTGTGGAGGCTGAGTTTATAAATTTATTCAAGAGTGAGTTTGATATATTGTTGATAGACAAAGGAGGCAAAGGGTAATGAGGTGTAGGCCGGAAACTGGAGATTAGACGAGAATGTAATGCAGGTTGTTCAGATTCTTCTAAACTGTCAAAAATCATCTTTTCTTAAATCAGCCAGAGTTATTCTTTCACAGTAGAAAAGATGACAGTAAAAGCTAACAGGACATTTTGCAACATTTTAAGAGCACAGTGGTGCTTCATCCAATGGAAATGAGTGCAGTTCAAGTGAAGAGGCTAATGTAAGGGTCAACTTACTTTTAAAGGACAAATCTCCACAATAAAGGTATGAACATACCATACTAATCATTCAGAATGTTTCAGACTCTTCAAAGCACTTTCCATCTTCTTCACAAACACGCAAATCCGATGTGCTTTTAATGGGCTTTCCAAACCCTGAACTACTAGGAGAAAAGGTACGTGGAAGGAAATCTGATTTGCAATGGATAAGCCCACCTTAGCAGGGCATGGGTATCAATTTGCACACCAGACATTCCCAATCTCCAGAAATGTCAGAAGGAAACACATAGGGTCAGGAATGCAAAGGAAAATCAAATATTCCCCGTGGCCCAATAAAAGAAGTATGGCCATTTACGCACTGAAATCTGCTTTTGCTCCCAGATTTAAAAAAAGCCTATTTGAGCGACCCGAAATATTTTTATTCTCACTTTTTATTTCCTGCAGCATTGCCAAATAAGAAGGTTTTTTTTGAGATAACAAGGTGTAGAGCTGGATGAACACAGCAGGCCAAGCAGCATCCGAGGAGCAGGAAGGCTGACGTTTCGGGCCTGGACCCTTGTTATCTCTGATTCTCCAGCATCTGCAGTTCCTACTATCTCCGAAAGAAGGTTTTTTTGGAAGTTTGCATTTAAGTAGCTCTAAGTAACTAAGACCTTCAACCAGATTTACTCATGAATTGAATGTCTATTTTGTTACCAAAATGTAAATTTTGTAAAGTAGAATTGCCTCCCTCTGCTGCTGTCATTTATAGGCAATGTCCTGTGTGTCCTCAAGCAATTTCACTGTCAATAGTGAGAAAGGAGGCTGCATTACTTCAAACCAGCCTGGGGGTTTTTACAAACCAGGTGAGCTCAGGAATCCTAGACAACAAGGTGCAGGGCTGGTTGAACACAGCAGGCCAAGCAGCATCATAGGAGCAGAGAGGCTGACGTTTCGGGCCGAGACCCTTCATCAGAAAAGGGGGAGGGGAAGGGGGTTTTGAAATAAATAGGGAGAGAGTGGGAAGCGGATAGAAGAGGGATAGAGGAGAGGATAGGTGGAGAGGAAACAAACAGATCGAAGAGGCGGGGATGGAGCCAGTAAAGGTGAGTGTAGGTAGGGAGTTAGGAAGGGGACAGGTCAGTCCAGGGAGGACGGACAGGTCAAGGGGGCGGGATGAGGTTGGTCGGTAGGAGATGGAGGTGCGGCTTGAAGTGGGAGGAGGGGATAGGTGGGAGGAAGAACAGGTTAGGGAGGCAGGGACGAGCTGGACTGGTTTTGGGATGCGGTAGGGGGAGGGGAGATTTTGAAACTTGTGAAATCCACATTGATACCATTGGGCTGCAGGGTTCCCAAGCGGAATATGAGTTGCTGTTCCTGCAACCTTCGGGTGGCATCGTTGTGGCACTGCAGGAGGCCCAGGATGGACATGTCGTCTGAGGAATGGGAGGGGGAGTTGAAATGGTTCGCGACTGGGAGGTGCAGTTGTTTATTGCGAACCGAGCGTAGGTGTTCTGCAAAGCGGTCCCCGAGTCTCCGCTTGGTTTCCCCGATGTAGAGGAAGCCACACCGGGTACAGCGGATGCAGTATACCACATTGGCAGATGTGCAGGTGAACATCTGCTTGATGTGGAAAGTCTTCTTGGGGCCTGGGATGGGGGTGAGGGAGGAGGTATGGGGGCAGGTGTAGCACTTCCTGCGGTTGCAGGGAAAAGTGCCGGGTGTGGTGGAGCTGGAGGGGAGTGTGGAGCGGACAAGGGAGTCACGGAGAGAGTTGTCCCTCCGGAAAGCAGATAAAGGTGGGGAGGGAAAGATGTCTTTGGTGGTGGGGTCGGATTGCAGATGGCGGAAGTGTCGGAGGATGATGCGTTGGATCCGGAGGTTGGTGGGGTGGTACGTGAGGACGAGGGGGATTCTTTTTTGGTTTTTATTGCGTGGACGGGGTGTGAGGGATGAGGTGCGGGAGATGTGGGAGACACGGTTGAGGGCGTTCTCGACCACCGAGGAGGGGAAGTTACGGTCCTTGAAAAACGAGGACAACTGAGATGTACGGGAGTGGAATGCCTCATCCTGGGAGCAGATGCGGCGGAGGCGAAGGAATTGGGAATAGGGGATAGCATTTTTGCAGGAAGGTGGGTGGGAGGAGGAGTATTCTAGGTAGCTGTGGGAGTCGGTGGGCTTGAAATGAATATCGGTTTCTAGGTGGTTGCCCGATATGGAGACAGAGAGGTCCAGGAAGGGGAGAGAGGTGTTAGAGATGGTCCAGGTAAACTTAAGGTTGGGGTGGAAGGTGTTAGTGAAGTGTATGAACTGTTCGAGCTCCTCGTGGGAGCACGAGGCGGCGCCGATACAGTCATCAATGTAACGGAGGAAGAGGTGGGGTTTAGGGCCGGTGTAGGTACGGAAGAGGGATTGTTCCACGTAACCTACAAAGAGGCAGGCGTAGCTTGGGCCCATGCGGGTACCCATGGCTACCCCCTTTGTCTGTAGGAAGTGGGAGGAATTGAAAGAGAAGTTGTTGAGTGTGAGGACGAGTTCGGCTAAGCGGATGAGGGTATCAGTGGAAGGGGACTGGTCGGGCCTGCGGGACAGGAAGAAGCGGAGGGCCTTAAGGCCATCTGCATGGGGAATGCTGGTGTAGAGGGACTGGACGTCCATGGTAAAGATGAGGTGTTGGGGACCGGGGAATTGGAAGTTCTGGAGGAGGTGGAGGGCGTGGGTGGTGTCACGGACATAGGTAGGGAGTTCCTGGACCAAGGGGGAGAAAATGGAGTCTAGATAGTTGGAGATCAGTTCGGTGGGGCAGGAGCAGGCGGAGACAATGGGTCGACCAGGGCATTCAGGTTTGTGGATTTTGGGAAGGAGATAGAAGCGGGCAGTGCGGGGTTGGGGAACGATGAGGTTGGAGGCCGTGGGTGGGAGGTCACCTGAGGTGATGAGATTGTGGATGGTTTGCGAGATGATGGTTTGGTGCTCAGGGGTGGGGTCATGATCAAGGGGGCGGTAGGAGGAGGTGTCGGAGAGTTGGCGTCCGGCCTCGGCGATGTAGAGGTCAGTGCGCCATACTACAACTGCGCCTCCCTTGTCCGTGGGTTTTATGGTGAAGTTGGGATTGGAGCGGAGGGAGCGGAGGGCTGCACGTTCTGCAGGGGAGAGGTTGGAGTGGGTGAGAGGGGTGGAGAGGTTGAGGCGATTGATGTCTCAACGGCAGTTGGAGATGAAGAGGTCGAGGGAGGGTAGGAGGCCTTGGGGAGGTGTCCAGGAGGAGGGGGTGTGTTGGCTGCAATTTGGCATATTTGTATTACAGCCTGCAGCACAATGACTCCAGAGAGTCACAACTGTCCAGTGCAAACAGACAGCAACCATTGTTTATAACTGAAGCACTTTGGGATATTCTCTACATTTGACATCACCAGATGAGTTTAATCCAAGGGAAGGCTCTATTTGAAATTCACCTTGTCATCAGACAAATTATTAAACCGAGAAAGAAATTTAAGATAAATGCTATTCTTGTTAATGAATTGCAGTAGTAGTTTAATAACAAGTATGGTCTCTAGAATTTATTTTTAATAAATCATCAATAATGAGATGCATGACTGAGAATGTACTTGCACAGAATGGTTACATTCTGGTTTGGTTATTTATTTAAGATAAATTTCTTTCCGTGAGGTAAGTCAGCAATAATGGCAAATTAGATGAAGCATATTTCACAGCACTCTTCTTCATTGCGGCATAAGCAAATAATACATGAGCTGGTTGTAAGTGGAAAATGTAGTCTAATTTGTCTTTTTTGGCAATAACTGCAGAAAATTAATGGTAGGATTTTATTCATACAGGCAACTAAGGAAATGAAAAACAAGACAAGCTGCCTGCGATTTCAATTTTCCTAGGAACAATAAAAATAGGTGCGATGGGCTGTCTCTTCCACATGTCTCTGGGTTCAGTGCGCCAAGATACACAAATACTTGCAGCCACACAAAGGGAGGGGTTAAGACAAAATGCAGCAATTCATTTTAATACACTTGGCTACCAATTTGCCAGCAGTAATCCCCTCTTACACATATCTCTTTACAGGATTATTAACTATCGAGCCAGAGGGCAACGATTAACTGAAGTATTTCCACTAGCAGTTAAGTCTTCACAGTTCCACTGCCCATGCCAGCATAAAATTCAACCAATAAAGATAGATCAGTTAATGGTCAAAGTATAGCAAGTGGGCTGAGGTCTTGAATTTCAACAAAACATATGAGAGTTACTGCAAATGCAAAGAAAATATATTACATTTTTTTACCTATAGATGGCAGTCTGATCGTAGCTATATGTGGCCCTTATTAGAAGACGAGTGATGTTTGCCAAAACAGTCATGATGTCCTTTCTGTTTACAGGTGACATTGTGGAATGAATCACAAAGTTCTCTGGTCGTAGAACTATCATTTTGGTGTGCTCTGTCAGTGGATCAAGCTCAATTCCTTCAATACCATCACTTATGAGGATGCCATTACCCTAACAAAGAAAACGAGGGACAAAGCATGTAAACAAATAATACAATAAAAATTTTCCCTCAACTAGTTCTTTGCTCGAAAACACTTTCCACCTGAGAACTATGCACGAGGCGTTACAAAGTTTTAGTGAATGGTATGGCAATCTAGTGAAATCCACACTGAAAACAGAACAATAACAAAACATCTTTAATGTAAAATAATCAGAGAGAACAAACAATGCCAAGTCAACGGTTTAGAGAGATATGGGCCAGATGCTGGCAAATGGGACAAGATTAATTTAGAATATCTGGTTAGCATGGATGAGTTGGACTGAAGGGTCTGTTTCCATGCTGTACAGCTCTAAGACTCTATGACTCTAAGTATGACTCTACTTGAATATTTAGAAGGTTTTAAGGAGGCACTAAAGGAGAGAGAGTTAATGAAGACGTGGAGGGATTGGGGGTGCGAATTCCAGTGAGCGAAGTCTATAAGGAATAACAGCCAATTATAGAATGAATGGATATGCAAAAGGTCGTAGGCAGATAAAGAGTGATCAGGATGTTGTGTTTCCCAACATATAGTGTAGTATGTGCCATAAAAGTGTTCAAACATAAGGAATGAGAAATTTAAACCTGAGACATTTTAGAATCAGGAATTAATGTAGGTCAGCAAATGCAGGAGACATTGGTGAGTAGGACTTAAAGTCATACAATCTTAGAGCTGTACAGCATGAAAACAGACCCTTCAGTCCAACTCATCCATGCTGACCAGATATTCTAAAGTAATCTAGTCCCATTTGCCACCATTTGGCCCATATCCCTCTGAACCTTTCCTATTTATATACCCATCCAGATGCCTTTTAAATGTTGTAATTGTATGCGCCTCCAGCACTTCATCTGGCAGGTCATTCCATACATACACCACCCTCCACATCAAAAAGTTGCCCCTTAGGTCCCTTTTAAATCTTTCCCTTCTCACTTTAAACTTATGCCCTTTAGGTTTGGACTCCCCCACTCCAGGAAAAAGACCTTGTCTATTTACCCTATCCATGCCCCTCATGATTTAACAAATTTCATACAAGATAGCTTTAGATGGATTGTAATTTGTGAATGATATACAATGGAATTTGAATCTAGACTCTGCACAATTGGGTGTCCACTGCTTGGCAATCATGCAACTCCATAGTTCACATCACATTTCCATACACTCTGCTCCGACTCCACACTGGGACTGGACCCCCAAAATCTCATCTTCACTAACCAAGACTTCCAATTCCTCAGCCCCGAACACCTCATCTTCACTATGGACATCCAATCCCTGTACACTTGTATCCCCCATGTAGATGGCTTAAAAGCCCTCCGCTTCTTCCTCTCCCACAGGCTCAACCAGTCCCCCTCCACCAACACCCTCATCCGCTTAACAGAACTTGTCCTTACCCTTAACAACTTCTCCTTTAACTCCTCCCACTTCCTACAAACTAAGGGGGTGGCTACGGGCACCTGTATGGGTCTGAGCTATGCCTGCCTCTTCGTAGCTTACACAGAACACTGTTACACCTGCGCCATCTCTCACCTCTTCCTCCATTACATTGATGACTGTATCGGCGCTGCCTCATGCTCCCATGAGGTGCTTGAACAGTTCATTAACTTTACTAACACCTTTCACCCCAACTTCAAATTCACCTGCACCATCTCCGATACCTCCCTCCCCTTCCTGGACCTCTCTGTCTCCATCTCTGGTAACAGCCTCAACACCGACATCTATTTCAAACCCACCGACTCCTATAGCTACCTGGACTACACCTCCTCTCACCCACCCTCCTGGAAGAATGCAACCCCCTACTACCAATTCCTCCACCTCTGCCGCATCTGCTCCCAAGATGGAGCGTTCCACTCCCAAACATCCCAGATGTCCTCCTATTTCAAGGACCTCAATATCCCCCACAATGTGATCAAAAATGCCCTCAACTGCATCTCTTGCATTTCCCGCATTCCTGCCCCCAAAACGCCTCCCCCCAACAAAAATAAAGACAGAGTCCTCCTTGTCCTCAAATACTACCCCACCAACTTCCACATCCAGCGTATCATCCTCCACCACTTTCGTCACCTACAATCCAACCCCATGACCAAAGATACATTTTCCTCCCCACCCCATCTGCCTTTCGTAGGGACTGCTCTCTCCACGACTCCTTCGTCCGCTTCACACTCCCCCCTAACCCCACCACCCCAGCACCTTTCTCTGCCACAGCAGGAAGTGCTGCACCTGCCCCTACACCTTCCCCCTCACCTCCATCCAAGGCCCAAAGCAAACTTTCCATACCCAAACAGGGGTTCACCTGTACATCCTCCAACTTGGTCTACTGCATCCATTGCTCCCGATGTGGCCTCCTCTGCATCAGTGAGACCACGTGTAGACTTGGAGACCATTTCGTGGAGCATCTATGCTCTATACACGATAATCGCCACTTTCTGGTCACTAATCATTTTAACTCCCCATCCCACTCCCTTTATGATGTATCCATCCTGGGCCTCCTCCAATGGCACAATGACACCACATACAAAGTGGAGGAGCAACACCTCATATTCCGCCTCGGGAGCCTACAGCCCGATGGCCTAAACGTGGAATTCACCAGTTTTAAAACTTCTCCACCCCGGCCTCATCCCACGTCCAAACCTCCCTCTCATCCCTGCCTCCTTGTCCTGACATAACCTGTCCATCTTCTCTCCCACCTATCCGCCCCACCCATCCCACTGACCAATCCCCACCACCCCCTACCTGCACCCACCTATCACCATCCCACCTACCTTGCCCCAGCCTTACCCCTCCTCCCTCTATTTATTTCCCAGATCCCTTCCCCCTCCTCAGTTCTGCAGAAGGGTCCCGGCTCAAAACATCAACTTTTCGACTTCTCTGATGCTGCCTGACCAGCTGTGTTCCTCCAGCATCTGCCGTTCTTGCTATCTCTGAGTGACTTATCTTGTACCTACTGGGTTCCAGCAAAGACTTAGAATTTACTAGTTTAAAGTTAACATGTTTAAGTAAGATTTGGTTAGCTCTGGTTGAGCACTTGGAAACTTTTCTTTTTTCAAATTCATTCTGAGAATGTTAAACATAGCACAGCCAGTAATTAGAGCCTATCCCGAGCTGACCTGCAAAGGTAGGATGAAAGGCAAAGGTTACATTACTTAAAAGGCCATGAAAACTCCCAGCGTATTTCCAGCAAACAGATCCACACCAATTTTCTAGCTCTTCTGCTACATTCCCTATTCAATTTTGTATCTTGGAGATATGCCAAGATGACACACCATGTCTTTTGTGTGAAGAAGATGCATTTACAAGTGCTTTTTAAAATGTCTGCTCTTTATGCTGCTGCAACCTTTTGCTAGCATTTACTTTGCTGTTGCATCATGAAGTGTTCCGTTATGTAATCTCCTCTGGCCTTCATTCTATTCATATATGTTTGCCTTTATTCTTGCCTCCCCCTTCTACCACTTTCACAAATTCTCACATTTCTATCTTTCCTCAGTTCTGATGCAAGCTTAACAACCTAAAATGTTAAATCTGTTTGTTTCCACAGATGCTACTGGACCTACTGAGTTTTTCCAGTACTTTTTTGTTCTTATTTAATATCTGTGTGGGAGTTGTTGCCATGGTTTTGTTGGCCACAGGATTGGTTGTAGAGGTACGGATACTGTTCAACATATTTTCTCACTGAATACCCAAACTGCGTTGTTTCTAAGAGCACTTCCATTAACACATCCATTGCTGGCCACCAGACTTGTAATACACGACCAAGTCTTCCTCTATTTCATAAGGCCTCTTAGTTTTTAGCTTCGAGTTCGCTTCCTGCCGAACACTGTCTGTTACCAATTCTGCCTTTGATTCCTTGAGTGAAAAGATTCATGGTCATGAGTGAAATGACTATGATCACACAGTGATCTTCAACGTTGCAATTCGCTAGCTATCACTAACAATGTCGAGGACAAAAGTACAGCGAAGCACATTACACGCACACAGTCTTCGATGTTGCAATCCAATACACTATCGCTACCACTGTCTAGGATAGTGGTGCAGCTAAGCATATCAACTGCTCAGCTGTGTAAACCAGTGACAGAGTCAACATGGAAGTTGAACTGAACTTTGGACAATCGGGCCATGCAGGGATCTGGATAGTGGGTGGTGCTGTCAGTGTAGCCAGCAATTACTGATCAGTGCAAACAGTGAACTTTCCAGCAAGAGATGAATGTACCAATGTTAACCAGTGTAGATGCAGCTCATGCTTCCTGCTCTCCAGCAGAGTATGTATGTTCAGTTTCTGACAATGGAAATGATGATAAAGCAATTGGCTGTTCACTTCTTTCAATGGCCTATGAGGGTAACAGCTTCAATCTGGTTTCCTGATGCAACTGTGCTGACATACATTTCCAAATGCGGGTTGAAATGCTTAAAAATTGGTGCAAATGCTATTTTTGCCTTTAACATGCCAATTACCGTTCACTGTGTGCCTGTCCGTTTCCATTGTTTGACTTTCTTCATTAGCATCGGAAGAGGCTCGGCAATCTCAGTGCAGGTTGGGACAAACTTGTGATAGAAGTTGGTGGCAGCCAGGAACCATGCCAATGCTTTCACATTAGATGGGATTGGAAATACGTGTGTGGCTTTGAGGTTATCTTGAGTAGCATTTACTCCAGCTGCTCTCATTCTGTATTCTAAAAAGCCACTCTCAATGCTGCAAATGTGCATTTGTCCTCAGAGAGCAGCAAATCATGCTGTGCAAGTCAAATTAGCAAGAGCGTGATAACTTCTGAGCATGTTCTGCTTTATTTCTTCATTGGCTAAAGAACCTGTCAAGGAGGCCGAAATTATCTTCTGGAACACTACAGGTCATGAACTTAGTCAATAGGGCTTTCTGTGCCACTGAATCACACATTAGAAATTAAAAATAAAGCTGTAGAACATTAGCTTTGCACCACTATTGGCATCTATCACATTGACAAGAACTATGAAGTCATGGCATACTGC